GTTATAGTAGCATAACATAGTATAGAATCTACTTGGACCAAAGCATATTTTTACTCTGTGGTCTATATTATTCTGTGATTTTTTGCAATATGTATTCATTTTCTAGCCATTTTCACCACATTTTTTCTGGTACCTAGTGCTTGCATCAAACTGATACCTCAGAAAGATGCTACAAGTAACCTAGTGTAAGATTGTTATATACATCATCTAGCTAGCTACAGCAGTCATGGAGATACAGGGGAATTTCGACACCCCTTTGTAGTCTTGTGCGTTATTTTTGGTGGCCACTGTAAGTGAAAGTCAACATACCCAATAATATGAGTATGGAAGCATGTAGCAAGCATGAACTGTAATGTGTCATTGAAGGTGGTGAGTTGAAACAAAAGTCCAACATATACTCCGATAGCACAAATTCGCTGCGTTGTTCCCAATATAATGGATTCATTACCTGTGGAGCAGGAGCTCAAACTCAATATCATTGCATGCCAGAGCGCCCGCCACCAGCCCAATCATTGTTGGTTGCAAATGCTGTCAATGTGCATCTGGCACACTCCGCATTGCATTAGACATTCCGTAAGACTGGTATAGAAAGAAAAACGCCACCCTAACATTGATACTCACAATACAGACTGCTTCATCACGTCCAATACCCATCTACTAATCCCTGCAGAAGATGTCAGTTTTAAACCTCGGTATATCGACCAGAACCACTTCGTCAACGTACCCTCTGCTATAATGGTATCCCTCGATCTGGAATCAGGAGGTGGTGTGCAACAATACACAAATCAGGTGCAATGCATGCAACATGGCGTGCCACGCTTGTCATATTGTGACGCGACATCAAGGTAACTACAACTTAATGTTTCATCATAATATCAGTACAGCGCGCAGACCTGGTTGACACATGAACATACACTATCAGAAACCAGCGACAGGTGCAATGTACTGCCAGGGGAACGCCCTCACGCGACCTTGTTGGCGGAGACATTATAATGGTGAGATGGCTCGGCGCAGGACTTCTCATCGATGAAGCTGTTAGGAATTCAAATTCGCAGCTCTTTGCAGAAAAATGCGCTGCAAAGCTGTGCCTACCGACGTGACAAACCTCACAAAGACCGTGGTCACTGGGTGCATCCCGCAGGAAAGTACACCCGCCCGTCAACCGGCCGTACTCGTTGCGATCCAGGATATGCCTCGGGAACGCATTGTCAAAACACACATAGTCGAAGAACCCGTCGCCGGAGTTAAGCCAAATGTGTTCCAGAAAGTCGGACCTCCATAAATGGGGGATTGAGCTTCCGTCCCTTTATCCGGGCTTCCATGCATTTTACAACGGATGTTTGCGCACGATCAGAGGTCATACCAATGCTAAGAATCGAAGCTGTACGTACTGTTGCTATGCGGTCTGCATAGGCCACATGTAGGATGCTTGCACAACACCAGGCGTGCGATACTCGATGGCGACTTCACGCAAGCAGCGCCTAACGCTTGTAACTCCAGCCACAAGATGTCTAGTTCATCCGAGAGTACGGGTAACTGCCAAAGTAAGCCTCCTGATTTCACTTCGCGGGGCACGCTTGCACAGGTGGAAAGACGCGCGACGCGTTGCAGTGCGCTTCGTGGTACACGCACGTGATTTCTTTAGGGCAAGGCTCGTAAGGCCTCAGACACGTTCCGTGTTGCAGGACCCCTGTATCATCCTCACACTTCCACTACCTTCGTCCTCCACTCCGATATTTTCGTTAGTCTGTAAAATTGTTCATTATTTGCACAATGGCGGACGAGGCAGTTGTGCCGAGGATCGAGCTTGCCGCAGCAAGAGGGCCCATTCCGACATTTTCAGCCCATCTCATGCCATTCCACGTACAATACAGCGGCCCTGCGCCTGTAACAACGTACTTTCGCGTCAAGCCATCTATAGATCCCTCACAGGCAACAGGCGCGTCCATCGACGCGTCGAAGAACGGCTCGCGACAGACCGCGGAAAGAGTGGAGGCGGTAGACTCACAAGAGACCCTGGTCGGGGGCTGCCCTTCCTTAGATCCCGCACCGAGCACCTCTTCCGTCACGACTCTTACCGGGAATATAGAGACGTCTCAGATGATCGACGAGACAGCCACGCCGAGTGGAAAGCACTTTGTTGCGGCCTTTAGGGGTCGAACTGTACGCGGTACCAAAATCGACCTGCCTGAAGGCTTTGCGGGTATCGTCCTTAGCACACCGGAGAGCACGCAAATGAAGCCTGCTGTTTCTGCCAAAGCGTTGGCAAAGGACCGGCGGAGAACAAGAGCGAGAAAGGCAGCTTCGAAAAAGCAGGCTGTGCAGGCTGATGAAGTAGAGGAGGAGGAAGCAGACGCCAGCATGGAAGGTGTCGAGGTACACTCAGGGCCGGTGAAGATCCTGGAGGTGAAGGGGACGTTCGCATCGTTCACGCTATGGCACCCCGACGTTCCTGTGGACGAAGGCAGTGACGAGTACTTGCGGTCGCTGACTGAATGGACAAAGATAGCTGCTGAGGTGCGTCTGCGGTTTCTCGAGACCCAGGCGGTCACAGCTGACCGGTACGTATGACAGCTTCATCACTACGATGATTGAGTTCAACGCCGTCTCCTCGCTGAGCTATGAGCGTTGCCAGCTGGTTGCGACGCAGTATACCACTGTTCTCGTCACCACCACTGTACCTAGAACTGCCGCTATTGACCGGCGGGTGTGTCTATCGAATGCGTCAGGTGTGCAGAGTCGGTGCTCACGAATACCTGCGCTGTAGTCTCCGAGCAGCCCGTCGGGAGTCGTTTCCTCTGATGGGAGAGCCGCCATCAGGCCACTCATTCGACACACGGAGGGCTTGGCACGGAACGTGGGAAGCGGTGCCTGAACGTTCCAAAGCGCCGGAAGCGACTTTTGTCGGAGGCTGGGCGTGTCGTGTGCTGTCCACGCACCTTTCCCTTCAGCTTCCCCCCCGCCCGTCCGCCTCCCAACGCGAGACTCGTTCTCGTCCGCTCGTTATTCCAGCCACTCCTTATAGCTGCTCGGCAAGCCTGCTCAGTCGAAGAACACGTACGTTTGAACGAACCCGAAGAAGTTCCACTTGACAGCTGACCGCGTTTTGCAGTTCGTCGCTAATACCCATCTCCTTACTGATTATACCAACAATGCTCTCTTCTCTCTTCTTCGTGACTGTGCTTGCTGCTGTTGCGGTGCGGGCGGATCCTAGTCCCTCCGAGCCTGGTCCCGGTGCCGTCTACAACGAGGGTTCAACATGCCACATCTCCTGGGGCCCTGACACTTCTGGGACGTGGAATACCATGAATATCGAGCTCATGTGCGGTGACAATGACGACATGATCTATATGACGAGTGTGACTTCCCGCGTCCTCTTCCTGCCTTCCCTCTAAAGATCGCTTTTATAGCGGTTGCCACGGTCGATGGTACCGACGCCACCAAAACGAGCTTTGATTACCCCTGTCCCCAGGTACACTACGTTTCTTTAAGAAGCAAAGAGTATACATCCTAATGGCGGCTCAATCACAGGTTACACCCAACTCGGCCATCTACTTCTATCAGTTCACCTCGCCGAACACTTCCGACGTGACCTGGACGACGCGTTTCGCGATTGCAGACGCGAGCGGTAACACCACTCCACCCGCCAATTCGACCCAGCCGAACGGCGACTCGATCTCCTGGGGCATTGGCACTCTCGTCGATCCCTCCACCGCCGTCCCAGAGCCATCGTCGGGCACCGGGAATAGCAACGGCACCACCGTGACCGCACCCCCCTCAGGACCCGCTACATCGGGTACGCCTACGGCCGCGTCTGAGTCCTCCGGTGCTGCAACCACTCTCACTCTCGCTCCCGCTGCGTCCTCCCCGTCAACTGCTGGCTCGAACTCCGTCCTCGCCCTCGGTGGCAGCTCCGGCTCGCTCACCAAGTCATCTATGGTCACGGTTACCACCGGCTCGGCTGCCCCCACCAACAGTGCCACCGCGAAGAATACGACTGGAAGCAGTGTGCCCAATGGCGTGGCTGTTGGTGTCTCTATCAGTTCCCGTATCACGCAATCTATTGCAACCCTGGTGGTGGTTGGTGCTGCGTTCGCTGCCGTTTTGTGAGATTATATTTATGTGAGTACTATCAGCTACTGTTAGTAATCTTCGACTGATATGCTCAGTACTGTTGCAGTGTGGATGCCGAACATTACTTGTTCGCTATGGGATATTCCTGTGTGGCTAGTATGTTTGAATATTATGCTGCATGTGCAGACCCTGTAAATGCGCGCTGAGCTTCCCGTATCGTCAACAACAAGCTGGATGGGAGAATTACCGTATCTGAACTGCCGTTTGTTTGGGCTTAGGCAACCTTTAACTCTTGACCTCAATCGTAGCGCCAGCCCATCCACAAAGTTTAAGTTTGGAGTCATGTGTAGGTGTCCAGCCCTTAGGCCATGCGCTAACACGCACTCCCTTCGTTGCAATAGATTCGGGTTCTTGCGACCGTCCACGAGCCAGGCCACACAGCGATCATCATCAAGCTTGTTTCACTTCTCCTGTGACCGATTGCTCGCTTGGTGCATGTAGCGAGCTTCGTTCGCCGCTGAGGTCGCCTTCATAACTCAAGCACTTTCACATTCGACTCCGCGCTGTCAGCTCACGACTCGACCAGCGAAGGTCAGCGCATGCAAGCATGAGGGTGCAGACTTCGCAGACTTCGTTCACATGCTTCACTTCTATAACCCGTGTCTGCGCCTCACTCAGACCAGCCAGGCATCTACAACATCCCCCAGATCCTGGGAGCCAGATCCGGCGAACGCATACCTCGCGACGTGGGTTCATCGCGGCCTATTGAATGCAGAATACAGCTGCGACACCGACATTACTCCAGCGATATGGAGTGGAGTCGCTACCCTACTCTGTAACAGGGGCGGTCCGCTTGCGGCCGCGAAGATCCCGAGGCCTGCGGCACCAGGAGGCGTGCGAAGGCGAGCACCGCGCGCACCTTCGATTGGCTTGTGTTTGGGGGCGGCCGAAGGTTGCGAGAGCGTGATAGAGTTACCGCCGTGCAGCAGGGTCTGGAAGACCCCATCTTTGGCTTAATCTAACTTCCAGGTGAAGTAGGCAGGCTATCGGCCAATGGTCAATGACCGCCAGGGTGACGCGTCCTAATCACACGTAGCCAGTGAAAAGATGAAGGGAGTTGTGCGTGCTACTTGCTTTACTTACGTCAAGATGAGCTGCCAGAAGTTGGATCTAAGTTCTGGGCAAAATTTGTCTTCTAGACGAGGAGGTGATCTCACAGAATCCGCTGGTAAGATGAAACCCGGTCTGAAGGCGGTCATAATCGCGTCACATCTAAGCATTGCTTTCGCAGGCCGCAAAACCAGTGAACCCCCTCGCCGATTAGGCGGAAGAGTTGTGCGAATAGAGTTGCTCGTGCGGCCGACTTTTAGGCGAGTATTCAACACAGCAAAAATTCCAATTCATCTCACAATAGGCGTACCTGTGTTTTGTCGTGTTATTACCCACCGCAGAAGTGCTGGTATTGTATCCATTCTCAAGTTTCCCATCCTCACTGTGATGATCAAGGAGATGACCCGGCCAATCTCAAGTATGTATACCTATTATTTCAGTAGCAGGCTATCTCCCGCGCACAATGGAGCTGACGGTTTCTCTATCACATACAGGACTATCTTCATTTTTGTCACGCCGTGCAAAGGTGGGTGCCTGGCCCTATGCCCACCTACTGCAACCTCAAGTGACATTGCGACTCCGATGCAAATGGAATCTCCCATAAAACTACCGATTCAAACAGTCGATAGCAGGTTGAGCCGACAATTGTCCTACATTGTCTTGAGTTCCTTCAGTCTCGTAGCTTGTCTCGGCTATCTCCACCTGTCTCTGGGCAGGGCAAAAAATAGACGGCCCAATAGTCGTTCGGATTAGGAAGAATCCTCAAATGCTTCGACATCGGTTCTGTAGCCGCGCTAACCTGTGGCTGGTCCAGACAGAGGGATTGCCCTCACAATTCAACCTGTACGTCTCACGATTCGGCATGTCCGAGGCCGGGCGGCGTCTGCTGGGCTGTGGCGGAGCGCACCGGTCCTATCACTGTATCTCGTGCCTGTCAGGCTGCTGACTTGCCACAGTTTAGAGTGTATGACATACATGTTCGGTCGTCGCCGGCATCGGTTGTTATCAAAATTGACCGATCTAAACTTACGATGCGTTTTGCAGACCTAGGTGCGCATGTTGAACACGTTAATGTGCCGATGGCTCACCGGCGTTCCTCACGGTAGACCCAATATGGGCCCAACGTAGGACGGACATCCTTACGTCAAATTTACGAGGGGGCAGTCCTATTCTCCTGTCTTCATGCTTCGTGGAAGGGACACTAACCGCGAGGCAGGACTTCTAGCAGCAGTGGCCGTGCGGTGCACTTTACTTCTATTCCAACTGACTTGGCGGCTAGGCACTCCTCGTGAGTCTGGATAGCACAAACCTCCAGAAGATTGGCTTGATCGTGGCAGCGTAAGCCCATTTGGGCCGTGCTTGGTAAATCGCAGCCCAGGCTATCAGAACGGGACTCCGCTCAAATTCGCATCCCGTCGTTCTCATTGGTTCGCTGAAGCTTACCGACAGGTCGTGGATCCAGAGGACGCTGGCCCTGGCGGAGAATGGCGATGCGGAATTCCGGGTATTAAAGCGACCGCCTCATACCCGACAGCCCTTCGAGCTGGACCCTGCCACCCCGTTTTCACTGGCGAATGACATGGTGAGGAAGCCTGGCTGCCTGAGTGCTACCCCTCTGCAGACTCATTGATATGTCACCTTCCGGTCTCGTCGAAGGCTCGTCGAAGCAGTAGCCTGGTAGCCACTCTTGGATACGTGCCACAACGGAGATGTGGTCAGGGCGAGAGATTTAAGGAAGAGAAGTTGTCGGCAGTCTCAACTACAGCACAACCAGCGCGATAGAGCTGTGGATATACAATAGGTGAGCAGAGTTGTATTTCTGTTCCAAAAGCTCATTTTGAGCCGCCTATAAAGCACAATGAATTTACCAACACTCCCGACCTTGACCGACATCGAAGTTTCGTCTCTAGTTCAGGAGTTCAACAGCCTGCCCCGCCGTCATATCGTCCCTTCTGGCCCAGAGCCTAACAAGTGGGTTTTTGGTCTGCACGTCGTCCCTATACCCCCAGCAGGCTACCTGCTGTTCATCGTCAACCCCGCCTCGGGTATAGTCCAAGGCGAAGGCCCTCTGCCCATTGAAACGAGACCTTTATCTACCAGCGAGCAGCGCGACCGTGGCCGCAAAATTGCGATCCTCCTGCTAAAGGCCTTCGTATCGAAACTGGGTAGGACGGACGCACCAGAGTATTACAAGGTTGCCCCCTGGGAGTGGGTAGCGGAGGACACACAACTTGCTGCGTCCGTCAGTAGTGCTCTGCAAGCTCTTGGTGTGCGTAGTGAGTTGTGCGATGTAGGAGTTGCAACGGAGCAGGAAAGGGACATTACTACAGGGCGTTTTGCTGGATTCTTGGAAGACCTGGTGCGCACGATGCGGGCTGCTAGAGAGTCTACGTGACTACCGTGAGCTTTCAGCTGTTCAGATAATAGCCATTACTAACTATTTCTAGATATCTTCAATTGACTTTGGATTTTCTACGCTTCAAAGTTTGTTTTGTGCCAGTTCAGTGGTGGTTAGGTCGTGGATATCGCTTCATATGTCCTGCTCCTTTCCCTACACCGTCAGAATGGCCTCTAGCAATATATATTCACACCACCCTCAGCGTAGTTATGTTTGCTTTCCTGGGCTTTTCCCACTGTCGGGTCCCGTGCTCGTGTGAGAGGGTATTCATAGCTCGGGCGCCTATTATCCGTGGGAAGTATGCCGCAGCGGACACGTCGCGCGTCCACGCCCGCACCCATTGACAACCTCCTCCCTGACTTTTCCTCCCATATCCTTTCGCCCAGCGACTTGTACCGCACGGTACAGTATTTTGTGGCCATGGCCACGAAGGCATACACGCTGCCGACGGACATTCCTACAGAGACCGTGACAAACATCCGGTCTCTGTTACGGATCGTCTCGCTTGCACTCATTTCAGCCGCGGCCATATCCTCAAGATTGTTCGCCGTTGTCAACTTCGAAAGTATAATTCATGAATTGTACGTATGGCTATTCATGTCACACTCCACGCGTGCTGAGCAGCTGCAAATAGCGACCCGTGGTTCAATTAGTACGTGCTTGAAAGTGTGCGGGACAGGCAGCTATATGACGTGACCTACAGTCGTGCTACGAGGCTTCTGGCAGCCAAGGGATTCTACGTGAGTACATGTAGCATTGCAATACGATGCTGCTGGCTAACACTCCACTAGGCATTCTGGAATTGGTTCGATCCCACCGCATGGTATCCTCTTGGTCGTGTCGTAGGAGGCACCATCTACCCTGGCCTCATGGCTACCAGTGGTGTCATTTACAACGTTCTCCATGCTTTGAATCTGCCGGTCGACATTCGGAACATCTGCGTGCTTCTCGCTCCTGGCTTCAGCGCCCTGACCGCTTGGTCAACATACATGTGAGCGCACACATAGCCGTAACGAGTACACCTCTAAGACATAGATTGGCAGGTTCACAAAGGAGTTGAAGGATGAAAGTGCGGGTCTACTCGCGGCGGCGTTCATTGGCATTGTTCCAGGATATATCTCTCGTTCCGTCGCAGGCTCTTACGACAATGAAGCCATCGCCATTTTCCTCCTCATGTTCACCTTCTTCTGTTGGATCAAGGCGTTGAAGCTTGGGAGCGCTTTCTTTGGTACCTTAGCGGCGCTATTCTATTTTTACATGGTGGCGGCTTGGGGTGAGAGTCCGTCTACTATGTATGCTCTGTTTTGCTAACGAGATTGGACTTCGCAGGCGGTTACGCTTTCATCACGAACATGATACCGCTCCATGCGCTAACGCTCATTCTGATGGGCAGGTTCAGTAGCAGACTTTATGTTGCGTATTCGTCATGGTATGCTATCGGAACGCTGGCCAGTATGCAGGTTCCCTTCGTAGGGTTCCAGCCCGTTCGCACCAGTGAACACATGGCTGCGCTTGGTGGGGTTGCAGCTGTTCTGTACCTTGATACGAAGCTTAATGTTGTTATACACAGGTGTCTTTGGCTTGCTCCAGATCATCGCGTTTTCGGAACTCGTACGATCGCATGTTTCCTCGAAGCAGTTCCAGACTCTGTTATACGCTTCCGTCATCGGCATGGGCGTCCTTGGGTTCTCCGGCATCGTAGGCCTGACGTACAAGGGCTGGATTGCGCCTTGGACAGGCCGCTTCTACTCTCTTTGGGACACAGGTTACGCCAAGAAGTACGCACTAAATCCATGTTTCGTTCTGACTGACTTTGACCAATCTTGGTAGATACATCCCAATTATCGCGTCTGTCTCGGAGCATCAACCGACCGCATGGCCATCTTTCTTCATGGACCTGCACATTCTCATTTTCCTTTTCCCCGCCGGCGTCGTCATGTGCTTCAGCAAGCTTCGTGACGAACATATCTTCGTCATCCTTTACTCGGTCGTTGCTAGCTACTTCGCTGGCGTTATGGTCCGTCTGATGCTGACTCTCACCCCTGTTGTCTGCGTCTCCGCCGCCGTTGCTCTTTCATCTCTTCTAGATACCTATATCGACCCGACCGAGCCTGTGCTCGAGGAGGGAGAATCGGCAGAGTCTGAGGCCACCCCGCAAGACCCTACCAAGAAGGTCAAGAAGACCACTCCCCCTAGTAACTCCGGTTCCTTCGGAGAGTACCTTGCGAGGTTCACTGGCAACACAGACAAACCGCGCGGTATTTTCGGTGTCAGCAACCGTCTCATCGTCTTGTTCAACACCTTCGGCATGCTTGTCTTCTTTGTCATCCACTGCACATGGGTTACGTCAAACGCATACTCTTCGCCCTCTGTCGTCCTCGCGTCCACAGGCGCTGATGGCAATGCTCACATTATCGATGATTTCCGAGAAGCATACTACTGGCTTCGACAGAATACTCCTGAGGATACTGTCGTTATGAGCTGGTGGGACTACGGATATCAGATCGCGGGTATGGCTAACCGCACGACCCTAGTCGATAACAATACCTGGAACAACAGTAAGCACGCTCTCCGTCTCGTGCCCGCGACAACATACCTATCTATCCTTATACAGCTCACATTGCAACCGTTGGCAAGGCCATGTCTAGTCCAGAGGAGGTTGCATATCCCATCTTGCGAAAGCACGACGTGGATTATGTCCTGATCATCTTCGGCGGTCTCATCGGGTACTCCGGAGACGACATCAACAAGTTCCTCTGGATGGTCCGCATCGCCCAAGGCGTTTGGCCCGACGAGATCCAAGAGCCGAACTACTTCACCAAGACTGGCGAGTACAGGGTAGACGATAGAGCGTCTGAAACCATGAAAAATAGCTTGATGTACAAGATGTCATACTACCGGTCAGTGTTCAGCCGACTTAAGCGAAGCCCGAGCACTAAATTCTCGATGTTTGCAGCTTTAACGAGTTGTTCGGTGGCCAGCAGGCCGTGGACCGTGTACGTGGGCAGCAAATGCCTAAGGAGGGACCCGTTCTCGACTATATAGGTGTGCGACCTCCTTACCTCCTGTGCTTCTGTCGCTGATTAGCCACTGGCAATTTGCAGAGGAAGCATTCACGTCGGAGAATTGGATTGTGAGCTCGCTGCATTCGTCCTCCGCGGACAACCTGACTAACTCGGCCCCTTAAGGTCCGTATTTACCAAGTTCGGAAGGAAGACTTGCTAGGTAGAGATTTGAAGGTCGCCAATGCTTTCGAGCAAGGCAGGAAGCGCAAGAAAACGAAGCCTCCTGTGAGGCGCAGGGCGCTTGCATAGATTTCTGGTGTTTCTAATAAAGTTCTTTTTTGATGCGAATACCTCTCGGAACCCGTAGGACAGTGGTCGCGCCGTTACCAAGATCTGAGCATTATGGCAGTTTCTCTCGGCGGGGATGTCGTCGCCGAAGTCAGCCCGTTCTCTGAGTTCTAAGTCCACGCAAGTCCCCAGGTTATGTCTAACCAGCTTGAGTTCGGGCTCGGTAAAGCTCGTCGCCTTTAATGTCGCGTGAGTTCCTACCCGGTCGTTCGCTGGTCTTGAGTGCGCGGATCCCGGGGGTTGAGTACGCCTGGCAAACACATGTCTTTGACAGAAGACGTCTCTGCCGTTTGCAGCAAATTAACGGAAGAATTACCCGCTTCGTTCACGTTATTATTATGGCCAGGAAGGGTCTTGTGAAGTATGTCTTCATATTTTCACAGCGTATGTTCTTGCTGATCACATTGTACCGGTACCCGCCTCGTGTGGTCGATTACTTGTCTGTTCTACCTAAAATTGATTTGCGAATACCTTAAGATCAACGCTGACGGGCAGGTGACCGTTGGTAGTCTTCGCGGACCACATTGCTACCACTCGCTAATTCTGCGTAGATCACGCAACAATCCATCGGTGCCGCACGGGTGACTGCCAGCAGCGCTACGATTGGCTGCCCGGTTAATTCTCACCCATTCGGCTCGTCAGAAGGTGACTGCTGGTACGCACCATAGCCATGTTTAGGGACGCTGAATCTGCAGGGATCTTCCATGCATGCGAGGAACATGAGTCTATTCATTTCCTTAGGGAACTTCTTTAGCCTTGACGACAGCGCGAGAGCAAGGTCGCTAATGCGTCCGTGCCCGTGAACTTTCTGATCGCTGTCCGCGGTGACAGGGTTCAGACATCTCACTGCTTGAGTCACCAACTGCGTCATCCGAGGCTATCGAGGTCTATCGGCCTTGCTTACATTCTGGCTGATGCGTCGTGTTCAGCACAGTGAGCGGATCATCTACTGTCTTCGAGACGGGGGCTAGTAGGATGTTCCCGCTGACATGCCGTGCGTGCTGCAAGGGCTCGCCTACTATAACTCGATCATGCAGGATTTGATCCTAGTAGGCGACGACTGTCTTGTGCGGTGCAATCTATCATACGCCTCAACATGCTTACCGACGGCCAGCGTCGCTGTTGCACCATGTCAGCTTGACGCACGTGGTAACTTGAAGGTCCTTGGCGGGTCCGTGAATCAAGCATTTAATTCAGCGGGGCCCTCGGCTGCTGAGGTCAGGAGAAAGTCCTCGAATGTCGCATAGACTCTGTCAGCCGCCAAACGGAGCTCTTCGTGGATGCCTCTGGGAACGTCGCGGAGTTGTGCACACGACGTGGGCTCCACGGCTAGGTTCTTATGCGCGTACACAAGTATCCAAGTTTTGCTCAGAATAACCCGCACGTTAAAGAGGTACACGCGATCGTCATCTAGTGTCCATTATGCCGGTGCACCACACAAGAATACCGCTACGATGCTTATGTCCGATATTTCACAAGGGTCCTAGCGTCTGTGGCACACGGCCCATGGCTGTGACGGGTGCCTTACCGTCGTGCGCAAGAACTGTTCGACCGATAGCAAAGTCAATGGTCCGTCTCAACGGCCAATAGCAGCCGACGATCAGTCAGGTCGAAAAGGTTCTGGGGGCTCGATGAGAGTGCCATTATTACCAAGAAGGAAACCGATACAGTGTTCAATAGAACGTTATCGTCATGTCCCAGTCATACAACGGTTCTTGTGTGAGCCTACTGCAAAAAAGGTTTAGCGAGCAAACATCGACGGCAGAGAAAAACTGACCCGTGTCTGTCATGCCCAATCAATTGCGTCAGCATGGGCGGTCTCAGCACCCTGTACATTCGTTTGTGCGGCGGCTTCCCTGGCCGCACTCAGCACCTCGAATTCCTCTTCCGAGAGCTGTCTGAAAAAAATCTCTCCGCTCTGCCATCCCCGAAGAAGAATTTCGAGCTTCTGCAGGTTGGACACATCGCTAAGGTTGCGAAAGGGCACCTCCTCGTGCGGCCAACCCTCGATGATAACATGATATTTGATCACAATATCCTTCCAATAGCTCGGCCAACGCATCGACGCGTTGGGATCCTGGGTAATAGCACCTAGGAGGGGAGCGATTAGTCATCCTGTTGGAGACCAGGTACGGTTCTGCCACACGCACGGAGAGCTTCTTTTACGATCCGACGAATTTCAGCGCGTGTTTCTGACATCCTTTCACTATAGCTCCGTCTTGGAATAGCGCGGAATTTTGTTTGTTGGGCAGCTCCCGGGTTGTTAGCGGAACTCGAAGAGCGCGGCATTGTCAGCGAGTGGGCGATACGCCGGACGTTTAGATGTATGGAGAGGTGTGCAAAGTCAGCGACTGTGTTGTGGGCCCTTGTCCTTGCATCTGCCCGTGATATATAGGGTGTTTAACTCATTCCGGCCCTACAGCTCCTGACCGTGCGTGATCCTTCAGGTAACTGACAGCCGCTTGTGTGCCGCGGCACCTTTCCCTCTGACAACAAGGGTGCAAACCAACGCGAAGGAATCTTCTACTCCACACAGCGTGTACGACGATGAACAGGAAGAACTTCTTGCGTTAGATCATCCCGACATGAAATCGATATCGTACCACGTCGTCTTAGACCGATCAGAGAGAACTTACAGTTGCATATGCATGTTTTGACCTGAGCTCGGACCGCATGATACGCAGCTTACAACCTTCCCGGGTATGCGGTTAACTGAGCCTTGGACATAACGACGGATTGACCCGCCGATCGAGTAGCCAAGTTGTGCCTTGAGGTCATGACAGGAGGATCTATAGTAGGCGTCAGTGGATCTTGCGCGGGTGTCTCAAGCAAGCACTCACGTCTACGTAAGGACTGAATGCTATCTCGGGCGTAGTCCGACATATGAGCAACAATTCAGTTCCGTGCATTCCCGTTTGCCCGTACATGGCCATCGTCTGAGAGCCTGCTGACTTCTCTTTCCGCGAGGCTTCTGCACGAAGTAGCAGCACAGCACGAAAAGCACATCGCGTCGCCGGGTGACCAGGAGCATCGTAGGAACGCCGACCACGGACTGGACCCTGCGTAGTTAGCTCCAATGGTCGTGGAAGCGACGTCCCTTGTACGTACGTACGCTAGTCAGCACCGCCGCTCGACCGGTCTTGGACTGTGCTCGAGGTTGCGCGAGAGCGTTCTCGAGCACTCTCGATTGGACGCCTATGGTCTCGCGGAACTCGGAGAATGCTGCGTAGGCCGCTGATATTCCCATACGATGAAATCATTGAGCGGAAATGTACATAGGCAAGCCCTACGGTAGAACTTACCGTTATCTAAAAACAAAGGCGAAGGCGTTGATGTGCGCACCTTTACGACAGTCGAAGTGATCAGTAAAGATGGCGCTCCGACCTCAGAACGTAGGTAAAGGTGCCTGAACAGGAATATATCATCGGATTTTTCCAACAGACGTCTATGGCCGGGCAAGGCACAGCGTCAATCTTCCAACAGAGACGGCACGGGAGGCGGCAGCTGGGCGGGCGAAAAAGCCTGCGTCTGTTCGGCCACAGGAACTTCGTGGCATGCGATAAGCTCGGCCAGCACACTCATTTATTTCGGGCATATTTAGTCCCAGGGGACGGGCAACCGCACAGCAGACCGACTTACCGTGGGATCGTTACAAAACCCAAATTAAGATCAAGGAATTGAGAATGCGATCAATTGGGAATTTCGGTGGAAGTCTCCATATGTGAAGCTCACCGACTGGGTTCGGGCGCGACGGTGCCTGCGGGAAAGTATGCAGCTGAAGCGGGAAATACGCCGACGACGCGCCTCATGGAATATGAGGCGCAGCGTGGAGGATGTCTGCCACAGGTATAGGATCTATCCCGAGCCTGTAGGTCGCAGCGCGGTGTCTGGACCGAGGGCTCGGTTACTTCGCGCACCCGTCAGGTAGCAAATGTTGACATGAGGTACGCAGCGCATGAGCGCCCTGTACCGCATTTGAGTGTGTGACTTAACTCAATAGCTCAGGGAGGTTAACACCGAAATGAGACTGTGATCGCTCACCCCAGTTTGGCTGGACGTACTGACTGATGTCGGGTTGCCCGAGATATCGAAGCATCTAGACAGGTCTTGCCGCGACGAGGCCTATAGCTTACTTTGCAGAACCAGTTTTTTGTGGAGCGTGGCAGTGACGACGCATGTTGTCGTGGAAGATTGTAGGCCAGAGTAAACCGCGCTGGAACACCTCAGCTTGCTTCCGTAACACTTCCGAAAAATACAACGGAGAAGGGCAACATGCTCGCGAGAAAATTCAGGCTCTTCTTAAACCCAGAGTCTTCGGGGAACAAGACGAATGGTCGCGAAGAGCAAGGTACGGAAGACGCTGGGCCGGCGGCGAAGCTCAGGCCCAGGTTTGATGGCTTTACAGATCAAAGCGCACAGCTCTCACAGACGGCTTAGCTCTCTTTCTACCCACGAGAGTGGAAACCCCGAGAAAATTCGTAGTCATCCTAGTATTACAAGCGTACACAACCTTACAACTCATCTTTCGCACGCGCAGCATCACCCTCTGCGCTAGGCTGGCTGGCCACCGTCTCCTGCGCAGACTTAGGCTGTGCCACGACGGTAGAGGCTTCAGAAGGGGCGGCCGGAGTGCCTGACAGGGCAGCGGTCTGAGGCTGGCCCGACAACGAACCTGCCTCGAACGTCGCCTGGTGACTATCGCCGGTCGCTGCCATTTTTCCGGCCTTGGAGCTGTCACTTTGCGCCTCCTCCTGCTTTTGGTGCTTGAGAATGTTGTGTATCGGATCTTCAGGCTTAGCGTCATCCTTCGGCATCTCGCCCATCATACCCGGGTACCCAGCGTGGTCAGGGCCATGAGGATTTTGTCCCGATAGGACCGCTTTCTCGAAGTCGATGAGGCTGGAGAATCCGCCGTGTGCGAGAGCAATCCGCTGCGCCTCCTGTCTGCGCTGAATCTCGAGCTCCTTCTCGTCGGGTGCAAATTCTTCATTCTTGGCTTCTTCGTTGACGACGCGCAGATCCGCAGTACCATCGATCACGGAGTCGAAGAATTTGGACAACGAGTCGAATTTTTGGATGCCTATCAATAAGTTACCATCAGGTGACTGCTGCTCGGTCTAACGACAAAGAATAGAGTACTGTACCTTCGTAGAGCACATAATCCACCGATCCAGCGGGATAGAAGAGCACTTTTGAGGAGCCCCACTTGCTCTTCTCGAATCCCATCTTCTCCGAGCTGAGGCCTCGACGGTCTCGGTGGAGCGAGAACTTGAAGTGATCCTTGTACTTGTTCCCTAGTGTCTGCCACAAGAGAGGAATGTGCTTGCCATTGTTGAGTAAGAAAGCACGGTGGCTGTCCTTGTTCTGTAGCGAATTATCAGACGCGGACGAACAGCGAGGGTCGGGAAACGCACCTCTTCGAGCCAGGGGGTAATATCGTCAAAATTGTACAGCTTCTTCACACCATGTGGGACGTTTCGAGTAGCCCAATAGTACAACGCACTGGCGGAACGTTCTCCATGAGTAAACTCCAGAGGCGCCACATGGCGGCCGCGAGGGAATAACTATGAACCGCACACTTTGAGTTCCGAGGCGATATGCGCAAGAGAGTATGAGAAACTACCTTGAGGGTCGGAAATCCTTGTACGCCTTGCTCGGCACACAAAGGCTTGTTCTTCGGCTTGTCGCAATCCACGGCGTACGTGGGAATAAGGGGATACAGTCCGAGGGCGGCCTTGCTGTACTCCGGCGCGAGTCGTTGACAATGCTGTAGCGGAGTGAGTCTATGCAGCGCCAGAATTGTGAAGGGCACATACACCACACCATGGCGCGACAAAGGCAACTACTTGGGTGATCTATGCATGTAATTCAGCTCGACGTCGAAAGGCTTGCTTCTGCAGGCGACATACGTTCTCCTTCATCGCTTTCCTAAACTGCTTCGCGTCGATCATCTTCACCACCGAGTCGTCCGTAAACAGAGCCGCATGCGACAGCGCAGGAGCCAACGCCAATGTTAGAGCAAGGATCCGGGGGAGCAGCATGGTTGCGATAGATGAGCGTGTCGGACGATGATGGAAACGTCGAGACTTATAGCTTGTCTCGCGCGGTATAACGTGCTGACGTGGCTGATGTACCGGTGTATTTCCCACCGTACCGGTCCTGCTCTCGTGGTCGCCGACCGCCGCAACGAATTTCCATGGTCTCTCGCCGACGTCGGTACCCACGAGTATTTAGACTTGAGAGCGGGAGGAGGCGTGCGTGAGAAGAGAGGATTGTACCCGAGTAGTGCTCGCTGTCCCGGGCGTTTACCACCATGCATCTGGTTCCCACCTCCATCATCCTCAGCCTCAGCTCTGCTTATTTCGCTCGTATGTCCTTCGCACGCGCAGGAAATAATCAGCTCGGGACTCAGGATATCGGACGTGTCGAATAAAATCGGCTTGATTGGTCGACGTACTATTGGCGACCATTGAGAGACAGCTCCCACGATGTGCGGTACCGCTGGTCTAACGGAAGCGAGGGATACCTGTTGAATGCAGAGAGGTTTACTAGTGTCGGTTGATACTCAATACCATGGTGCGTAGCAGGAATTCGCTCGTGTGTCCTGTTTTCCAACAAAACTCGCGGCACTTCCACAGGCTACCTGCCTAAATTCACTTCTGCTTGCTCTACAGTCCTGAATCTCATTGTGGGGACTGTGACGACGCCGACACTGGATATGCTGGTTCAACATGTATCTCAGACATTGCGATACAGGAGTGTAGCCGCGTCTGCATGAATTTGAAGACGACATGGTGTTGTCACTTCTACCAATCGATTCCACGGTGGTCTATTGCTCGTGCTGACTATGGCATCTATCCTACGGCGCCAGCTTTCTGCTAACGACCCTTACTAGTTCAGCCCGATTTCTCTCGGGGTAGCCGATGTTGTGCTGTGATCTGCGACAACGCCTGGAACCTCGCTGCAATGGCCGTGTTGTGAACACGGCATGGCACAAACGGTGAGACTTGTGTTTTTTGCATCTTTCTCCTCAGTCGTCTGACCCAAATAATCCAGGTAATACCGGTATGTTGACTAAACGTAGACCTCAATCTAATGGCGGAAGGAGGGCATGGCTTGACGCACGGGACGGACCCCTCACGAGTAGCCTTACTGAATTGAGCGACGAACAGCCCGTTCTGTGCGACTGTGTCGATACCCGTATGTGTATTCCTCGAGCAAATGAAATGAAGCTCCCCTCGATAATCGTGCGAAATGCTCTGAACGGCTGAACTGTCCATTGATCCGTTGGGATCTAGTCTTTTCTCCCACGTGTTCTCTGTTAACAATCATGCGTGCACGGCGTGGAATCAACGAGGCAGAGACATCAGGTGTGCGGCATTGTTCGCTTTAAGCCAGCACGTCCGTGCTGACGCATTCACTCCTTTCTCCCTTGAACCCCGACTATAACATCACGGGCTGGACTCGACCGCGACTATGTTCCAGCTGTACGACCTCACTATCGTATATTGTGCGATCGCCACAGTGTCTGCGGCTGTGGGATATCGATACACGCGGCGGCGTTCGGACAGATCCAGGGGCTTCACCCGGTACGTTTTGCAGTTTCACACAGGGCTCGGAGAGTTCGAAATATCGACCAAAGTTTGTGTAGACCATTTGAGTTGCGTCTGTCGTCGTATTCGTTGCCGAAGCGGCGGAACAGCGATGCAAGCCAGCTCTCATCAGATGTGTCGGTGGCCATCGAGACCGACAGTTCCGACGGCTCGTCCGTCGACAGCTTGACACATGCTGTTTGCGAGTCGGTAAGTCGACGATCACCATGCTATTAGTCAGACTGTGCCTTGACCGATGCGACGGGATGCCTTCTTTGCCAGACAAGCGACGTTACAGAGCCTGGGTCCCTGAAAAGAAAACTTAGGGAAGAAGAAGAATCCAATGTACCTTGCTTCACTGTATCGGGCATCGATTATCACCGCTCATTGCAATTCTAGGCCTCAGAGTCTCTGCTCAGCGAGACGATTCTAGTTCGTGTTGAAAAGCCATGCTGCCCCTGCAGCAGCTGACTCTTACCTAGAACTCACCGTCCGAGCCGCCGCGGAAGCGGTGTCGGACCCCGTCCGATGGGAGGCAGGATCCAAACCAAGACGCCAGCCACGACCAACTGGTGTGCCAGACGATCGCATTGTCACCGCCTACATGCTCCGATGGTGAGCCTGAAGCCATGAATAGCGATTCTCCCGCTTCCCCGGTAAGTAATGCCCGCCCATGTGCACCTAACCTGCGTTCAACTGTACTGTGCAGATCACATCGCCAGTCTCGACTGCCAGACCCGCTGCCATACCCTCGTCATTCACCGTTCCAGCGGTTAGTGCGATCTTCACCTCTCGCATCAAATGGTTGAATCTGAACGCTCCCATTTATGCAGTGCAAGCCGTCATCCGCCTTTTCCGCCTTCGCAGGCGCCTCATCCGCGTTCTCAGTATCCACACAGATCGTCCAGACGCCGGCATGGTGCCGCGCTAGTACTGGGCCCGCGGTCGCGGAGTCGACGGAGAATCCGCTAGTCCCATCCAACGCGAATTCATGTGATAGCATCACGGAAAGTGGAGACCCGGTCGAAGTCTGGATGCCCCAAACCGTGGTCGAACTCGCGGAGAGTTCGCCGGCGGATGATCCACTCGCCGCTCCCGCGTGGACGAAGAGCACTCACGTGGGTAAGTAAACTCTCGGAGCGTCGGATTTTATCCTATCTGACCGCAGCATGGAGCTTTTACCGGAGAAGAGGATGAAGACGTCAAAGCGGAGCTCAAGGGTGCAAAGCTTTTCATCAAGCGCGGCAACGGCGAGTTTTCGACAGGCATGATAGGGCATATCAAGCTCTTGTCACACAAGACAGAGAAGTCGGAACGCCTTGGTTTGTCCGCCGTCTTCACGCTAGCCGTATTTGTTCCAAACGTGTGTTTAGTGTTCCGGCGCGAGCCCGTGTGGAAGGTGTCCATGAGCGTAGGGCTGTGCCCTACGGTCAGGTGCTCCTTTAGTGACGACCAGAGTGTCTTGCGGGTAGCTCTGAAGGAGGTAGTCTTGTCAGACGGAGAAGCAGCTGTTCAACAGCAGGTCGTGCTGTACGCGTTGAAGGCAAGTGGCTGACTATCCCCCAGCACCGGTGATTGGACTGACCACGCATCTGAAGAGAGGCCGGGTGCCTCGCGACGAATTCGCTGCTTTCGCTCAGGAAGTGATGTGCCGCTCGCAGCTACCCACGTAGGACTATTCGCCAAAAATTCCTCTTTGTGCACTTGGCGAGCATGACCGCCAACCCCCAAGCGGGGAGTGGATACCGCGACGTGTCTGGTATAGAGCCAAATCATCCCTTTAGTAATTGGAATGCAAAGCATCCGAACTAATTCGGGAGACTAGAGCAGATGATAGATGCATTGCTTCTTGTCGCACGGAGATGGCAGGTTCCGGAACCTGTAATACTCCACTTAGTCGAGTCTATACCCCACCATGTACCTAGTAGCGTTGTATCCCCTATGTATCAATATGTACTCTTTCGACAAACGACCTATGCCTTTCCCGCCTTTCAAATGAGATTTCCAGCTCTAAGAGCGGACCATTAAAATAACAGCTAGTCAGAGACTGAGAGAAAATAAATATTGAGACCCGTAGGTCTACCACTCCGGGAAAGCGTGTCATCCTTGTGCAGGGGCCATGCTAATCTTCTCTGTATCGTTCCAATTTTTTCGTATGTCACCCCGAAGGGGACACATGAACTTGTGTGCCGCGAGTTTAGGCGCCGCGTGTCTTGCATTTCGCTCAGCCCGCGGGTTGCTGGTGAATGAGCGCTTGCGGAGCTTGTCCTTCCATTGCATTCGGGCTCGGGGAATCTGCTTCTATCCGAATATACATTGCAGTATGTTCACTAATCTGCGGTGAATTTTCTTTCAGCATACATGAACATTATCCGAGAGGCATGATAATCCCCTTGCTCTTGAACGAGCACGAGATGCTTGCTAGAATAGAGGGCACTTGATTAAACTGCCTCATTTGTTCGTTTGTATCCCTAGCGGCAATATTTGAGGTACGACCCACTTATTCGCGTTTTTGTTCTATCAGAGATTATCTGATCGGCGAATACTATCTCCTCCAGCTGTATGTGTGGCTATGGTCCATCAGTTTTTATTCGCAATTGCTGCGTTGTGTCAAGAATGGGAGTCTAGTACTTGCCAATGGTTTCGCCAGAAAACATATCATGGCTGGATCGACCTCTAAGCGGACTCCATGTCGTATTCCTGTTCTACGAACCACATTTGATTAGCTTGACGCGGCAGTCCCTCGTTGAAAGACAGCAGCTGTACATTAAATCTGTATGTGTGTGTGTGCGTGCATGATGTGAAACCCCGCCTCCGCGGATACCGTACAGTCTATAGATCAGGCCTCGCAAGCGGTCATGCATATGAAAATGATCGGCTTGCCCTTGTAGGTGTTCGTTGGCGCATAGTTGGAGTTGATGCACGCTCGATCCAACTCGATTGACCCCGATTCACGACGGAATAGGAGCAAAGGCGCATCAAAATGTCGCCCCGGACGCCACCCGAAAGGCAGGTAGTTCCCACGCTTGCACAACCCTGCCTCGTATTTCCTTGATGCTTTCGTTCTCCAATTTTTATTTTTATTTCCTTGCTGCCTTCCAGTGGACTTTTCGTTTAGAGCTCACAATTCTGTCCATGGGCTCGGGAAGGCTTCCTCTGGCAAAACTCTACGCGAGTGGAAATACATAGAGACGACGGCGCTGCAACTTGAGGGCTGCGATCTTGGCTCACTTTACTATGGCCTCTCGCTCCTGTGTCAGCATCTATCTTCTCGCTCTGCAACTTGTCTAGCTCTCCTACTCTAAGACGCGTGCGCCAAACGACTCGATACCCCATGCACTACCGCATCCCTCTTGAGCTTTTCGACATCGTTATCGACAGCTTCACGTCGGGGCCAACCTACAACCCAGGACTCGGCGTTCGCATGAGCAAGTGTGAGCTAGGAGCGTGCAGCCTTGTTTGCCGTCATTGGGCTCGCAGGTGTCGTTATTCGATCTTTGCTTCTGTCTCTCTCAGGTCCCGCGAGGACTTCCATGCGCTCCTCCACCTAATAGACACTGCAGAAGAGATCTACGATATCCCACCCCTCACGGAGTGCATCCAAGAAGTTAATGTCCTGCACTCCGGGCCATGGGCAGTGCCGTGGTATCATCTCATCCTGAAGGAGCTCACAGCGAGAGAGATCGAGCTGGAATCGGATTGCATCACGCTCGAGCTCAAGGAGACATACGTACCCGAACCGCCAGGCTCGTCTGACGTACACTATGCTCCTCGCTCGCTGAGTACCTCACTACCGCGTACCATGCCTCGATCACTTTTCTCGCACGCGGTTCTCTCCCTCGCCGATCTGCGTTTCAAGCGTGTCCGGGACTTGCTCCGACTCATTGACGACCAGGGCGATCTCCAACAGATTACATGGGCTCGCATCTCGTTTGATGCAGGTGCCATTCTTCCGCCAGCCAGGCAGCGCACACGTCGGCCTTGGGGTGATATGGAAACTATCAGGACTTCCAAGTGGTCAAACGTCGATATGGAGATGCACATTATGTTTCTCATCGCTGCGGAGAAAGTGCCCGTCAGCATGGCCCTGCTGCCGGATGCATGGAAGCTGATGACCAAGGCTGCGCTCGCACTTGTTCTGCCCTGCATTGGCGAAGCTAAACTTGGATTTAGGGGTGATGGTGCGTTTTTCTAATGGCCGCATACACGCATTTACTAACTCTGCCACAGGCTTGGGCGTCACTTACAACACTCCTTCTCCGAGCACCGCTGGCACCCATCTGCTAGAATACCACATCACCGCACCTACTCCTCGCATCTCCCACCCGCACATCTTTACTGCTCGTCTCTGGCTTCGACCCACCCTCACCATTGAGGACCTCAAACGAGTGGACTGGGCGGCATTCGAAGATGCACTTCTCTCCCTTGACCCTTTACCCGACATCGAACTCGTCGTCGAGCATCGTGAAGGCGCAGACGGCGCACGAGTTATATTTGGGTGGCTTCTCTCCAACATACTCCCCCACAACTCGCCGGAGCGGAATGGCGTTGCACCTTCGTGCATGATCCTCTCTAGAGCATATGAGAATGGTAAGCTTGATGTGAAGATGACGTTGACGGATCGGTGGTATGAGTGGCGGTGGTGCGATTATCTCACAATGAAGGAAGTTCTCAAGGAGGCGGATGTGCACGAAGTGGAAGGAAAATTGATCAGGCTCAGTCCGGAGGAGGTGTTGAAGGTTTTGTTTTGCGATAGCGAGGAGGAAAGAAAACTTGTACTCGAGGAGTCAGCACAGGCGAGGCAGTCGGTGGCTGAGGGTGAACGTTGTGAACAGGAGGGGCACTGAGAGCGGTCCGAGTCGTTGCTAACACTAATATTTCGACATGGCCAGAAAATTCGCTAGGGTCAATTGCTGAGCATTTATTCGGATCAGCATTGTACTATTCGTGCCATCTATCATCTACCCTCATCCTGTACTTCCCCCGTCTAGCCCTGATAAATACTTCTCAACACCCGTCCACTCTGTCTGAAGCGTGCAAAGTCATGTTCGAGGCCGTCCTATAGTTATTTTGTCAGCTAGTATCGGGACAAAACGTATCAACGACCCCCATTGGGCTGAGAAACTCACCCGGTTGACCAAAGCTTTGAGTATATGCGCAATGCCCTTTCCCTCGCACGCATCTGACTCGCTAACAGAGAGATGTACCTCTGATTCACCACGCTTGAACATGATCCCTGGTGTCGGATTATCCTATAAACGCATGCATCAGCTCTCTTCCACAAACGTACATGACGACAAGGATACTCACACAGTTGTTCTCCGCCCTAAGCGCCCTCATGTCGCATATCGTCGTCGCCTTGCAGCTGTCGTCGCACGCCTGCACGTCCCCACCGCGACTGATGAACGTGTTGAATATCTGGAATGCTGTGTCGTTCGCTGCGAAGACCTCGGTGAGATTGTGCCAAAACGCGGCGTCGAGCGGCGCGCTGGCAGGCAAGGGCGGTGTCACCAACGGGCCATACGTCGCGCGTGCGCTGTAGTAGAGGTCCCACTGCGGCGGAGTGGATTGGAAATTCGGTGCAGAAATGTTTGCTGAAGGAGTGTAGAATGAATTCTTGTAGCTGAGGAGCATGGTGAGGGAGAGACTCACTGATGTACACCCGCATGTCCATGACTTCGAACGTGTCCGGGTCGATGTCATAGATCTTGAACGCGGGATTGCCGCCTCGTCAAATATATGTTTTCAGCTGTACACCACACGCAATACTTGGATGGGACACGTACTTGTAGGCGTCAGTGCCGGCGCGATGAACGCGATGCTCGTCGCCGTAGACGCCGTCTGGTCGTTGTAATCTGAGTACGCGATCTCGAATTGGTCCTACTCGTGACAGTAAGCGTCGCACCAAAGCCTCACAAAGATCGAGAAACGCACCTTGTGACTGTGTCCGAAGAACTGTGCTGCGATCGTGTTCTTATACCGCTGAGTGATCTGGTCGTAGTAGTTCGACTACGTGGTGGCAGCAAGATTCCCATTAGGTACTATACGTGTGTACGCCGGACGGGACTTACCTGGTCGTTCAACGCATCCTCCTTGCCCATCGGCATGTGCCCAATGATGAAAGCACGCTGGCCAGCGTCTTCTGCGGCCTGGAGCTCTTGCACCATGAACGCGAGCAGGCCATTCGGGTCGGGCCTGTTCGCCAAATAACGATTCAGTGGCAATCGTAGGTACACCAATGAAAAGAAAACGCACTGCTGAGTGTCGCTGTCATACACCCAAAAGCTGTAAGAGAGATTAGTACCTGATGTGCGTTCGACGCGTAGCGGCATGCTTACTTCTGCTTGTACCAGTACTGCGTATTGACTGAGATGATACTGTTGGACTCGTTAACATCCTCACGCATGGCACGGTAGATGATAAAATCACCGCAAATCCATACCGGGTGCCACGACCGAATAGCTCCCGGAGGTTTGATCCTCTTGCGATGCGGCGATAGCGCCTATCCATTGCTATAGTCATCGTTTCTTAGGTAACCGATACTTTTGTACGAGGGGTGCCACGAAGACGTACAGCCCATCCGGCACTCTGTGTGTCAAATACCCATTGCGAGTCGATCGTCGTAGTTGTGGTATTTCGCGGGAACGAGTTCACCGGAACAGAGTCGTGGTTCCCTAGCATGCAAATGTGCTTTAGCCAATTTGACAATCTACAAAGTTGCAATATAACGAACCAATGGCAGGGAAGATTGGCGCTTTCAACTTAGAAGCCATTTCGGCGTTGAAAGCCTCAAGATCGTTGGTGACTTCTCTGTAGCGTAAGATGAACAAGGCGGAAATCACCTAGTTCTCACAATGGCACTGACGTTTTGTTTACCAGCCATACAGCACCTGCGCACGCTTAGTCGTCAGTGTCTGCTGCAGAATACAGGGAGGAAAGCCGACCTTCCACCACATCCCCAGTGAATAGCGTAAAGTTGGCGGTAGAGCCGAATTGTTGAGCTGCTTCAAGCATCGAGTCGGCCAAGGTCACCGGTGAGTCACAGTGTGAGTTGCCGTTGGGGCCTGCAGGCTCCGTCAGGGGACCCGTTTCATCCGCAAAGTTCCTGCAACAGATGGGCTTCGTGCAATTCGCCTCTGAGCCGACCTACCCAATCTTTGGCGTCAGCCTCAATATCATCGGACGGACGCAAGGAGACTCCGTACAGTGTAGAATCTGTCGATGTGCACGTCGCTGATGTGAATGACCTGGAAAGGCGGCTTTCCAGTAGACTCGAAAACTTTCGGGTTGGTAGGCGCTGTCTTCGGGAACGGCACGGTGAAGGCGTTCACGGGTGGTGGATTACACAACCCGAACACGGCGTCACACAACTTGGTCGCGGTCTGGCCGGTGGCGGAGATCTGACGGAGGTCATGCGCGAGTATAGGACCTTCTTCCCCGATAACGCCTTGGCAGACGTCCGGGTCTTCCAACTGTGCGTGCGTCAAACGTCAATGAACTCGTGAGACGATACAGGACGAGGGGAGTGTGCGTACGCCAAAGTCGTCGCAGACAGAGACGATGGTGTCCACGAACGCGTCGTTGCCGAGATGCGCGAGTGTCTGCAGCGGGATGAGGAGTAGATGGCACGACGCGCAGTCCGTGGCATTCTGGAGGGCGCTCTCGATCTCACTTAGCAGGTCGCCAGATGCACCATGCAACAGAGCGAGTAGTAACAGGGTGCCGAATAGTCCTTTGAAGAACATCTTTGTAAGTCGATGGAGGCTTCGCGTCTGGCATACGAGATGCGACTTTGGCTTCTTATATCGTTGCTAGTGTCCTGTTGACAACACAATGATGAGTGTAAGACCCGAAAGAAGGGCATTTTGAACGCGAATCGCACCTTGAGGCGACACGTTCGTAGGCGTGTGAGCCTCAAATACTCCTCTCATCCCGCGGCATAAGGTCGGTGTACTATCCTAAGTCGAGCCTACCCACGACTCGTCGCAAGAAGCACACGATATTCGAAAAAGGTGATAAGGTTTAACGGCTTGAGTGAATCCTTGGTGGAGATCCTCAATGCCAGCCTGATCGAACGTGCTGGGCCCATCATTGCTGCCAGCATAGAGAGCTTCAGCGTTTCTGAGTAGACAAGCCTGCGCTGGGAGTACCGCATGGTATGCAAGAAAGAAATTGAACATTTGTACTGCATGAGCCGCCTGTGCCCCACAAACATCGACTTCAAAGCTGCCGGGCCCTGCGTATCGACTCCGCAACCGCATCTGACTCGGATAGTGCAATCGAGACGCAAACAAGCAATGTTACCTGGACATATATGCCTTCTCTAGAGTCAGCATACAGTCTGTGATTCGCAGCCCAACGACATGCGTCAAAAACAGAATAGCTGATTTACCAGGGCGCACCGAAGGCAGTTTGCGGACTACAGGTGATCGCGGTCGGTTTGCAAGTGCCCGGGAGACACGCCATCTGTGTATGCGGTGTGCTGTGAAATCATGTTCACATACAACTGAGACGGCTTTACACGATGTCCTAAGACTCGCGCGAGACTTACCCTGCCTTCGCTCCATTACGTACCCACACCAGAACAAAACAGCCCAACGATCTCCCGCTCGGATTTTGGCAGTTCTCTCGGCTCGAACTTGAGCACAAACCACCGATTCCGCTGAGGGCGCTGGTACTCGAATCCTACCCATCGACTTTGCCACACAGCTGTTAGATTTGTAGTATATGTACAAGGAAAAATTCGCGTACACAATTTTGAACCAGTCCTGCAGTTGCCTCACACATTCTTCGATGGTCGTTAAATCCCAGGGGAAAGCACGCGAGACCTCCAGGCCGAGATAGTGGAGGCTATCCTTGAGGCTATCAGAGTACACCTTCTGCTCCATACTACGATGGTGCTATAAGGTGAGTCGCGGCATTTATGAACGTGCTAACTTATTACACGCACTGCATAGCCAGGGACCGGCAAACATCCTTTGCGACCAGCCCTCTTCTGTTCAGCATGCGAACGATCTCGAACGGCGAGTCGACGTTTATAGTTTCGATGGGTGGAAAGGAGGCGAACGTCCGTAAGGCGATGGGATGGTCGTCAAGGGTTTCTGAGGGTGGGGTCTGCCTTAGATCTTGGTCAACGGGACGTAGATACGCCAACTCTTCCTGGGAGGGGTCAATAATGCCACCACGATGCAGAGGCTTGAAGGCGATGTGCGAGAAGATTGTACTCGGGACGATGGGGCCCTCGTCAGGCGAAACATCAAAGTGCGGGCTCTTGACGGTGTCATTGTAGCTTAACGATGACCAAGTCACCATTGCATCCTCCATATAACGACCTACAAACAAGTTCCTTTCGTATTCAATGTTAGGCAGACGCGTAGGCTACTTACGATTCTCCCGCAGTCGCGCTTTCCCGCATTGCGGGTGCGTACATGTCCAAGCGTGCCTTGCACACTCCAAAGCTATGGCCTTATATTCTATGTCTTTGAGAGGTTCATAGGTAGTCGTGCCTAGTCCGTTAGCCCGGAGAAGGCGCATCCAGCCCGCGTCTGTAAGTTTATCGTAGAACACTGAGGTCCTCTTGCAAAGGAGATAGAAGCAGGCCGTTCCAAGGAAATCATGAGGGCCAAAAGAATCCTTGATCATCAAGAGCAATTCGTTGGGCAGGTCCAAGAGGCTCTTGGGACGCGACAACATGATGGCAAGTCAGAGACCGTGAGACAACACGAGACTGGTGTAACATTGAAGTAAACGCGTGTGCAAATAGGCGTCCATAACGCGGGCAGTTGACGCGTCAGCGCTTCAGCACGCGTCCGATGCCAGTGTGCGACTCGGCCTGATCCCGGGGCTATCCTCCTGCCAGCCTCAAATAAGGACTTTCTGGCGTTTCGCGCGTTTGATTCTCTCCGATCACTGTCGCCCTTTGCTTCCTCTCCCTTGCTATGTCATACTAGTTAGTCGTGACCATCGACAATGGTGCCTGAGGCCTCCCGCCTCGCGAAATGACCATCCAACCCATCCCAAGATTATAATTAGACTCGAATGCAAATCCAATTATGCACAACTAGGTGCCTCAAGGCTTGTGTCTTGAAACCTCGCTTGAAACAATTAGCCTCACCCAAAGGTCACACATCTGAAGACCGTCGGCCTCATAGTGTGAACTTAAAAAAAGCGCACGTCAAGGGTTCTGCTGACTGGCAGAAGCCCCCGAAACTGAAGGTAGATCTGCTGCATTCAAAGCATGCTAGTTTATATGACTTGGGTGTATGTACTAATTCTTGCACGGCTGCAGTGTTGCTGGCCACGCCATGGCCCACGCCTTCAGTCAAATGCAGAACATTGATCATTTGAGCTTTAGATGGCCAGCATCATCCTGCCAAAGGTATTTATAGTGAAATAATTTTTTTAACTGCTATGGCCATCCATCCTTATACCTATCAACATGATCACAGACATCCTCTAATAGTTCCTTGTACTCAAACCAACTCACAACAATATTAGCCCAGGCAAAGAGAGGTCTCCACATGTGCAAACTCTAGTCCAATTACTTTAAAGAATAAGAAGTAAGTCTGTGAGTATCTGGCGACTGGAATAAACTCACGTTAGCTGAAACCATGAGCCAACCCTGTTGGCTGCAAAGAGGACATTTTGATGCATCCAAAGGCAGGAATATGTCATCTGAGCATCAGGAAAATACTTAGGTCCACAATGCTACAGAGTGCTACAGGAGCACTTTGAGCACTATGGCCAAAGTCCCATTTCTTGATGAG